ACGACTACGACGAAGCATACACGGCCAACAACGACGTCGCTCTGGCCCGTCTCCGCAGAGAAAGACAATTCATCGAAACCAGCACCCCCCTGAAACGCGTCTCCATCGGCGGAAAGCAGGATAAACTCCTCCTCGGCGGTGACGTCGAAAGCCCCTCCGCTCAGAAACAACTCGTCCCTGCTTCAGCCGACTCCAAATTCAACCAGCAGCAGCAGCAGCCCTCCCGCCGCTGGTGGCACACCTACAAGTACCGTGATCTCCTGGGTATCGTGCCCTTGGGCTCGGATGCCGATGATGTCGAAGGTGATAGCGACGATAGTCATTTCCTGGAGGTCGCTGTCGTCGAAAGACCCATGTGGGATGTCGATTTGCCGGGTCGTTATGTCCGGGACTACGCTTAGGCGAGTCGTCATCTTCTCATATTTATTTCATTTACTTTCTTTTCTTTTCTTATTATTATATGTTCATTTTCTCCAATTTATATTAGATATTCTTCCTTGTCTTGGCGAGCATGATAGGTCTTTATTTTTACAAATCAGAATTAGATTAAAAGTTGTTATTCTTGAAATCACTTTCGAAGTAGCATGTAGATTGATTCATTGGTAAATGTCGATCAGGGACATATAGATATGTTAGACCTCGTACTCTGCCACCTAACCTGATATCTAGATATACTAAGTAACTCTGATTTCCACATACGTACGTCTGAGGGATCTATCGCCAACTTCGACAAACAATCAGTCAATTAGTCAGTTGATCAAATATCCCGCATAGTTATTAATCACCTAAAACTACCTGACGATAGCAGTTCCATTTCAAGTGTTGCTCATACACACGCCTATTGTAAGATAGATGATACAAATAACTATCCACTCATGTGTTGATTATTTGTTATCAAAGTAAAGGAAGGGAATGTATGCACAGTTTGCTGCTGTATTTGACACAGCTTGACGAGGCTACTTTGTGTTATCACGGAAGAATCGAGATGACTACTTAAAAGTGGACGTGGGCATGATAGATGATGGTAGGTAGTATGCGTTCGGATGTGGCATGTTTTCGTGTTGGGTGTATTTCTTTACTTCAACAAGGATGATTGGATTGTACTGAAAGTTGAGAACTCGATTGCATTAGGTGAGATGACTGTCAGTTGGGCCCTTTTCTCTTTCCTCCTTCGTATTTGTAGATGAGGGGGGTGGAAAAAGCTGAAAACCAAGAGTAGTGAAGGATCAAGACAACGCCATGCATGTTTCCTGTAAATATCTACCACAACTATCGTGAAAATCGAACCATGTTCCATGTAGCATAGCATGAGCGTAAAGAAAAACCGAAGCAACCCAGAACCTGCTGATCTGCGTTCAGGAGACAGCATACATATCGTGACGCATCAAAATCTTGTCTTGTCTCAATCATTGCCCGAAGGCAACAGGAGACTCCATAGCAAGTACAGAAAGTAAACATGTAACGAAAACGCCAATGAAAGAAGAAAGGTACATTGCAAACTCCCGTGACTTTCCCTCTTTGGCTTGTGGTCGTGATTTTCAAGTCAAACTTCTTTCTTCATGCAATAAATTTGCGGCCGCTAGGTTAGACTCCATAACCGTAAGCCGGTTTATAAACTGTCTATCGGGCGATCCGATATGGATTCGTCTCATGGCAGGCCTATCATGATGTTGATCGATTCCGGGTGGCGAGAGATATAACGGACCTGGCACATCCCGTGTCTGCTGCATCTGCAGAGTATATAGTCGTGCGAATCAGCTTCGCGGCGCTGTGAAGTAAGTTTCGAAAGCTGGCACCCGAGATACGTATATCGACGGGCAACGGATAAGTGTAGCGCAGCATCCGTTTGCTGCTGACGGTATGCTAGCCCCACCAGTTTATTATAGGTCGCACCATCGAGTGGACGGGATGTTGGACGCTGACCAGCCATGGCAGGCTCAGGTCCAGGTCCTTGGTGGTGACATATGGGCGGACGGCGATTGCTTGGCATGTAATTACCAAGACCTCTAGTAACTTTGCGCAGAGACAGGTGCAGGCTGCATTCATTAGCATCGAACAAGCAACGATGAATGCCAAGTTGAAGAGTAAAATCGTCATCCCAAGTACAAGCGTCTGGGCAGCGTTACACAAGGGAGTTGCGCTGTGACCTGGCAAGAGAAGATGGCTAAGCAAGGGACAACTTACAGGACTGCTGAGCATGCTGTTCCGCTTGTTCCGGCCCTTCTTAATATGGTTCTTCAGTGCGGTGGAATCCAGCGGTTTGAGCAGCTCAAAACTACACAACAATTCACCTGAAACCGACATAATGGCACCCCAGTTGTCGAATTCACCACAATACTATTATGAATAGTGGTTAGCAAGATAAATCATCGGGTTGCAGATACCTTATAACGGTGTCTGGAAGCACTTACATTAGGTGCAGAAAAGACGGTAACGAGAATTCGATCCTGGTAGAACTCATAGCCGTCCTCGACGACCATGTGCGCTCTGCAGACCAAGTCGAAATCATGCCGTTGCAAGAAGTCCATGATGACCTTCTTACCGAAGCAATAACTCACTCCGCGCTCGTTCGGCTCCCAGTCCTCTTCCATATCCGCAGGGTCGCTCCACAAAAGATCATTCAGCAAACCGTAGTCCGGCACATCGGTCGGACGTGCGATTCCTCGAATGTCATCCATATGGGAGAGGCTAGGAGACAAACCACCATGGACACAGAAGATCTTGCCAGCGACGATCGCAGCGATGGGGAGGCAGTTGAAGGTATCAACAAAAGTCTTCCAGATCTTGATGTTGCAGCGCCGTTTACATTCATCATAAAACCCATAAACGCGGGTTACGTTGGCACACTCGTGGTTGCCACGTAGAAGGAAGAAGTTCTCCGGGTATTTCAGCTTATAGCAAAGCAGGAGAAGAATCGTTTCCAGACTCTGCTTTCCACGATCCACATAATCACCCAAAAACAGATAGTTTGAAGCAGGAGGGAACCCGCACATCTCAAAGAGCCTGATAAGATCCGTATATTGACCATGAACATCTCCGACGATCTTGACAGGGGCAGACAGCTCCAGCAGAGCCGGCTGAGAAAGGAACAATTCCCGTGCCGCGGTACAGATAGCCGTGATCTCTGCGTTCTTCAAGCAAACGGTCTTGGTGACCTTCGTCGAGTAACCGGCGTCGAGAAGCCGCGAAATCATGTCGTCCAAGTCAATAGACTTCAGAGCGCCCATTCCCATACCTGGCGAACTAGCTGCCTCGAGTGGAGTGTTCATTATATAGTCCAGAATGGGGTTGAGTTGATTGTCCTTTTTGATGAGGATTGATTCACCCACGGCCTGCGAGGATGGGCCCACGGGAGCAACACCAGTGGGAGGAGCGTCCGACACAAGGTCAACCTCGCCGCTTTGTTGCATAGCACTCACATCTTGATGTCCTCGCTTCAAGCTGCTCGACAAGGAAGGGGATGGGGGAGGCTCGGGGGCATCAGGGTTCGCACCCGGATCCTCGGCGGTAGGAGACTGTGTACTCAGGTTGGTGGAGCTGCGTCGACTCGCTGCCGACTTGATCGAGCCAGCATCCGACCTGTCGGTCTGGCTCTCCGTTTGTGACAGCGCGGACGTCGATGCGCGGGGACTGTCACTGCTACGGATTTTCGAGCGGATCGAGCCCCGAAGAGAACGGAGCGATTCTTTAGTATCCGACCGAGAGAAAGATGGATACGACTGCAAAGAGTCGCCCGGGCTGGAGTTGCCCTTGGAATGCGACTGACCCATTACTGCAGGGTGAAATATCTGCCAAGCTCGATTTCGGACGTCTATACAAGCGATATACGTTCAAAGTGTGAACACCAAGCCCTGCGGTGCGTCGGAATGCTGAGGGTCGTCTTGGCTGCTGCCTAGTCCCGAGAGGTTTGGTCCAAATATAAAGGAGACAGATCTTCCACAACGGTATGGGCAGGAAAAAGACCAGTCCTCGATCGCGAAAGTTGGCGGTGACGGAGATGCAACGAAGCAATAAACGGGGACCAGTTAGGACGAATATCAGTACAACAAGGGAACCAGTCCCGGGGAGGCGTTGCAAAGATTAAGAAGCGATTCGACAGATCGGTGATGTCGAAGAGTTATCGGAAGGAATGGATGGACATTGAGCGGAGGGATGAGAGAGCTTCACTATGGAGAGCCGCCGACAGCTAGTAGGGTGCTCGGAAGGGGAAGCTCCGATTCGCCGAAAAGAGCTCCTAGGGACGTGCGGATTAGACGAGGCTTGAGCAGGCAGCGACAGACGGAACACAAGATCACAAAGACAAAGGGAGAAAATGATAAGGGGAAAAAAATAAGAAAAAAAAAAATTGGAGTTAAGTTGAGGGTGGCATGTGTAGGGGAGATCTGTGAAAGCTAGAAGCTCTGGACGGAGAATTTGGGTAGATTCGGGGCTGTGGGAGGGGGAATAATAATAGAGTGTGGAATGGATGCGTCATTATGGGGTGGGAAAGAATGGAGATGAAACCAGACCGGACAGGAAGGGAAACTCACCCTCACCAGACTACTGGGGAGATTGAAGCACTAAAAGCTGACGAGAGACTGTGTAATGGAGGGAGAGGGGTTTGTCAAAGTTGGAGAATATTTGGAAAAGTCTAGTTGATCAAGGAAAAAAGAAAGGAAAAAAGGGGAGAGTAGGGAAAGTTGTAGTAAGTAAGTTGTAGCTTTGTTGGATGTCGCCTCAATAATCCCCCAGGCTGTCGTTTTTGGTCTCGATCCTGCAGCCAAAGCGGGTGTGGCATTTCCCGGAGGATCTGTCGGCCCGGCTGAAGCTTGGGCGGCTTGGGAGGCCTGAGGATGAAATAGAGCTGCCTAGAATCTCTTGGGGTCACTAAACCGAGATAAAGAGATAGATAGATCAATAAATATAGAGATTTATCGAGATTCGAATTTAAAGTGACCACTCCCTACCAGAAGTCTATTTATTTTTTTCTTCTACTACCCAACTTGCCCTGTCTGTGCCCCGTTCTTCTCTAATTTATATCACCACAAACTATAGGAAGAATGAGTAGTTGTGTGTCGACGAACAGAAAGGCTTACACGCCCCCTCCCCTCCTCCAACCGATGACCGAGCCACATTTCAGCCCCTCGTGACTACTATACATACAGTAAAAAGTTGACACCACGCTGCAGCACAGACACGTTCTCGTCTCTCCATCACACCCGTCTCTTTTCTTGGCTTCGTTCTCTTCAGGGCATTATAGGTTCCTCGCGCTTGCAACCATGCATACAGATTTCAATCCAGCCTGGAAAACCGGACGCACCACTTACCTTCGGATGATCACCGAACTGTCAGCCTCTCAGATGCTCCGAGCACTCCCGACAATTCCATGAGGGAATTCGTCGGCCTGCTCCATCATTGGTCGGTCCGGAACGCATGTAGTCATAGACTTCTGCCAGTTTAGATGAACTGCCGTCCCGCTGGTGTCGAGCCTACGACCCCTCCAACGCAGGGCCGACGACGGATCATGAGGCGTAGAATAATGTGCTATGCAAGATACCTCTTAGTCACAACGATGGCAGGACGCAACTTCAGTCAGCAGCAGGTCCAAACTCTACCCCACTGCAGGAACACCGCCATTTGCATCCCCAACCCCAGCTCAGCCTGGTCATGATCATGGCTTCTGCTGCCAAGCCCCCTCTACTGCGCCAAGAACCAACGACTTATGTCCGATCTTTTCTCCTAGCCACGTTGTGGTGGGCATGTTTTGGGTGATGTGCCTTGGCCTGCGTTGCAGTCTAGCTGATGCGGGTAAAGGTTTCCAACCATGGCATGTGTGACACTGAATGGGATTACTGCGCAGGTGAATATGCAGAGTCTGCCTTTTTGACTCGGCGCTAATAGGTGCATTTGTCCAGTCGATTTCAGTACCTCCCCGATGACCATCATTGGTCACCCTATGACCGCCCGCACCCAATCCTTAATATGAGAAAGCCGGGACCGAGCGGTGTAACAGCTTTTCGTGATGTTCGTAGCGCAACTTGGTAGACGGGATTATAAAGCAACGGCGTACCGCCAGTTTCATTCTACTTCTTCAGGGACTCCCGCGCGCGAATCTGCTGCGGAGTTTCCTCCAACTCAATTTTCGTAATATGTTGGCCAGGAACGACCACAAGACCGATAAATCGACTCGTCATATCCATCTTGACGCTCTGGGCGTCGACTGCGCTACCGGCGGCTGAATCATGCGTACCCGTGGCGGCGTCTCGAACAGTAGATGGGGAAGGGAAGCGGTATTCGTAGGTGCTGGCAAGGATGATATTTCGTGCCTAATGCGGCCAAAACAAGTCAGCAGGCGCTAGTTTATTTTCTTTCTCGTATTCTTGGTTTTCATATCCCTCCGAGCTATCCAAACAGATAAAAAGTGTTGAAACGGGAACTCATAACAGAAAGCACCTACCGCATCCGTACACTTGAAGGTACCCACGAAAATGCGCGTATCTGTCGCGTGCACTCGTAACGTCCGACCGATCAATGAGTCCAGATATTGGACTGCTTGGTTTCCGTCCATTGTGCCCTTTCCTGTTCTTTCCAATCGATTGACGTAAGGCAACCTGCCTAGCCACACCTTCACTTTTGAGCGGGGTGGGGTTTGACCACTAGAAGAAAGAAATCTAGCGGTCTAGACTATTCTGCGTTGTCCCAAGGCGAGGCGGGAAAATCAATCAAGGGGCGAGATTGGGGAGTCTCTTATAGCCAGCTGAACTCAAACGCCTAGTCAGACTGGACGGATTCCGGTTGGTTGTCGGGGAGAGAAAGATGGTCACCGGGTCGCGACAAAGAGATCCGCTGGAGACCTCAGGCATTCTTGTCGCATGTGACGTTCCGCAATCGGGCACGCTATAACAACGGCTCTTCATGATGGATTTCGCTTCATCTTGAGGAAGAGGTCTTTTCAGGATTTGAGAGAGAGAGATATAATAGCACCAGTATAATCTTTTCGGCTTGTTTACCATAAGGATAATATGAATTTATTGTTTGCATCGCTCAATATACTGTAGTATAACGATCCTCAACATTTCTAAGAGACTATATACATCGTTTCGTCTGTAACTCCGCACCTCAGTCGCCAAGGTAGCTAGAGTTGATTCGAGCTCAAACCGAGTATCCTGGCAGCCGTTTCGGGCAAGAGAAGCAGGTTCCGGGCTGCTTTGATTCATATCTCCAACAAAGACATGCAGATGCATGGACAGTGCAACGTATATCAAGTGACAGTGTCGTGACGCTACCAATATGACCAGCACATTGATCCGCGCGGTTATAATATTAAGATAAAGTAAATCAAGGTATCATCGCTGAAAGGACTAATGTCGTTGGTATCGCACGCGATGGGTGTAATGCACCCCAGACATGACCGAGCACTCGTCATGCCCAACCAAACCCTCCGAATGGTCTCCGAGGCTCTTGGACTGACTCGTTGGTTACTGAGTCCATGTCCATATCGCTGCCTGTCAGCTGCGAAGGTGGGCTACTCGTACCCCATCCCATCGAAGTAACTGGCGAGGACAGATTGAAGGTATGCGATTGAAAGGGTGTTGTTTGCAGTGGTATAGCATTGTTCGATGGTTGATCCAGCTTGTCCATGCGGTTGTGAGCGGGTGTAGATTGGGAAGGACGGAAGAACTTGAGTAATGTCTGCTGGCGAGGGTCGACGATCTCAGATGATGGTACAGGTTCTGGCTCAGTTGCCTCGTCCTCGTCTGTGGAAGGAGTAGGAGCTTGGTGTTGTTGTTGCTGAGCCGTAAAAAGCCATCGCATTGTATTTTCTACTGTATGTGAGACAATTGCTTTCGGATAGAAAGGTGCAATCTTTCAAAACATACCATAGACTACTTCGTCATCCGGGCGATCGTTCCTGAAGCGCTTGCGGGTGCGACTGTGGAGGTGCTTTGGGGAGTCATCTGCCACGAATGATCGTCCTGACATCACAGGAGCAGGATTGGGCGATGTGAGATTGGGAACCGAGGCCTTGCGCTTGAGGGACATGGTGTGAGGCAGAGAAGGTTCAGATCAGATCTCCGGTGTCGCGTGCGAATATTGAAGAGTTTATTTCTCGGTGGAACAATGCAGAGAGCTCTTATGAGAGGACAATGTGAAAAATTGATCGTGCAGAAATGTTTAATCACGAACAATGGGTAACTGTGCAGGCTGATATATAGAGTCGTTGGCTATAACAGGGCTGGGGAGTAGCCTTTTCCAGTGTGGTTGGGGAGAAGGATACCGGCGCGTCGGGGTCACGGGGGAAGCGTGAGCAAGACCGCGTTCCAATACACAAAATATGCGCTATTCCAATTCGGGGTAAATTGATCCGTCCATACCAGTGATGGCAGGCGATAAAAGATAGCAGATAACAGAACCTTGGATCCCGCCATAGTACTGTACGAGTAGCTAATTACTAGCTCCTCCGTAGTAATTTACTTACTATTCTCTCATATGAAAGACTACATAGTAGTATATGGTTCCAGACAGGCATTCCGCTTCGGGATTTAGCTGTATCGGTATCTACTCCAAACTCACAGGCACAAACGACCACGGCGCTGACAATCTAGTTCAACAAGGCCGGAAACGACTCCGGTTCTGCATGACCTCATGCTGGGTATTAGCTCCTTCCTGAAGAGTGTCTATGATCGGCATGCTGCCCTTGATGCTGTTTTGCGTCTTCAGAGCTTAGACCCGGCTGCATTCTTCATTGCGGGTACCGCAATGACGAGAGTTCCGCCTTCCCCGCTTCTGCCTTATCAAGCTGCCACCGACTGTTGTTCATCATCATCCCAACTCTTCACTTCAACTTTGCCCCATTCATACCTATATATACTGTATATACCATCGAAGCGTCTCTCTAATAACAGACCCTTCAGCTAATAGCAAGTCAAGCGGCTCAACATGGATGCTCGTGAAGATAGTCATGCTGGTTCATGGTACTCCGACGATAAATCCACCTTGTCCTATCAACTGGATCACTGGTTGCAAGAGGTACCGGATGAAATCGAGGGCATCGGCCAACTACCAGTGCCTGGTGCACGAATGATCATTGCGCCGTATGTATCGGAAAGCTAATTTGCATGTTGTATCTGACACTCTGATCTTTTCTCAGACACGCAGGCTATGCATACTCCGGACGGTGTGCCGCTTTCGCCTACAAGGCCCTGGACCTGTCACAGGCGTGAGTGATAGCCCTCTAGCCTCACTCGCTGTTTACTAAAGTAAATGAATGTATAGTAAACGAATCTTTGTTGTCGGACCATCGCATCACCATTACTTCACGACGCTTGCCCTTCCTGAGTTCACTTCATACCATACCCCGCTCTCTGACGACCCTCTACCGCTTGATACCGAGTTCATTGCCAAGCTACGTTCAACCAAAGCAGTGTCACGAAATGGGCTAGAATTGCAATTCACCACCATGTCTCGCTCCGTGGACGAAGCTGAGCACAGTATCGAACTGCACCTACCTTACATCCACCGTCTCCTACAACGCCAGCGGCCGAACCAGCCAACATCCCAATATCCGCCGCTGGTACCTATATTAGTGGGTGCTGTTACTGAGTCGACCGAGAGGGCTTTCGGAACCTTGCTTGCTCCGTATATCGATGATCCAGAGAATGCTTTTGTCATCAGCTCCGATTTCTGTCATTGGGGGCAGCGGTTCCGTTACACGTACTACAGCCCCCAGGCTCCTAACCCTGGGCCCAGCATCCCCGTTTCCGCTCCAGGCCTCCCTCAACCCGGGATTGATGGCGATAGTGTAACCGATCAGATGGAGATGGTGTCTACTGGTCGCTCCTTGAAATCGCGGGAACGTATTAGGAGCCGAGAACCACCGATTCACGAGAGTATCTCGGCAGTTGACATTGCGACCATGGCAGCTATTGCCACCGGAGAGTACGCACGTTTCTCAACGATACTCAAGAATACAGGGAACACTGTGTGTGGCCGTCACCCCATCGGCGTGATAATGGCTGGTATTGAAGATATTAGAAAGAATGAAGGGGAGAAGGGCAGATTTCGCTTCGTCCGATATGACCGCAGTTCAAATGTGATAGAGGTCGATGATAGCTCTGTGAGCTACGTTTCTGCCTTTACCGTGCTCTAGGTTAACACATGCTCACTGCAAACTGAGAAGTCAGAGGAATTGTCATCTGTATCCAATCCTTGCTCGGGACTGTGAATAGCCGCGTGCCTTCAGGCTCTCTAGTATTGTGTAGGAATCATTTTACAACTACTGCCATTCAATATGTCTTTCGGATAACTTCGCCTTCACCCTCCGCGAGAAAGCGGCCTGCTTATCCCCACAGCAGCATTTCCCGACCAAGGAATGAAACCCTTGAGAGATTGAGATCACCGGTCCTGCGGCCAGGGAAGGGTAGCATAGAGGTAGTATTGCTAAGATGGCCACTCTTCACTCTTGTTGGGCCATTGGTTAATGCCCAATCAACGAGGTTGAAGCTCGAAGAGTCTACTTACTATACCCGCCATGACTCTCAAGACGACATGGTACTCCCGGAGAGACTTCAGCAGGCGTCGACGAGGACAAACGAGCGATGGAAGATCATTGTCACATGGGCTCCCGATGGAAGCAAAGAAGGTTCGCCGTTACACGGCAATGGAGGGGGTTGGATTAAGGTAACTCGGCCACTCCGGGGCAATAACCCCAAAGAGACTGGAGAAAAAGCCTCATGCCTGCCGTTTCTTGCTCACTGCATGGTGCCGGTTTGCGGCGGGGCTACATATGGTCCGATTGTCTGGTGATAGGATCGCGTGGCTGACCTGCCTGCCCGGTTACCCCGCAGCTTTGCGCGATGGTCTGCCGGGGATGGAGGAAAAAGCAAGTCGAAACCCTTCGTGCATGATGCAGTGTTCAAAAGGTTGCATTGGGCTGAAGGGGATGTTTGGCATTGGTACGCTGGGGCTGGTGTTGACGGCAGCCGTTAGCCAGTGACACTCTCCAACGACACCCTTAGTCGTGCGACTGCGGAGGTTTGGCACCACCCAATCGATGAAGATGAGCTTAAATTGAAGTCCTACATCTCGTAGAATTCCTAGCCAATCCGCAGTCAGAAGTGTTGGCTCAGCATTTTGGCTTTCTGACCCGTGCGGTCTCTCGGATACTTCCGCAGCTTGAGCCAGATTCCTCAAGGTTTTTTCCAAACATTTGCGCCTTCAGGGCTCCAATGGTGTTCCTGTTTTGTCTTGGAATTGGACCCCTACGGTGATGCTCTTCACTCTCATTCGATTCTAGTTTGATCACTTCTGGCGATCTGTTGACTCTATTGTTCCCGTGGCGTGGCCAACGTCGGGATGTGCCTTCTGTGCCCGGGTGGATAGATCCATTCCCTGTCACCGTTTCCAAAGTCTAGGTCGTAAGACAGTCGGAGACAAATTGCAAGGACGGCGGAGATTGCCAAATGTTGTCACACACGCACACCGGGGCGCAGATGGTTGTTGGTTCAGGCCCCATGATGCCACAGGTTGAGGTGTGTCGGTATTTGCCGACATACAGACGACTCAAGGCGACTATAAAAGGCGTCAATGGAAGCTGTTTCACTTCTATCAATTCAAAATCAGAGACCTGAAGTTTCAATCCAACAGGTAAGCCAAGTATTTGAGTCTTCCGGAGATAGTCTGCTGAAACAGAGGGTTGACTAGCATCTTTGTTGCGAGACGACAAAGAGCTGCATCTAAGAACTATATCATCTGCACTGCCCACGCTCGTTCTTCGCGTGTTTCCGTGGTCAGTCTTTCCTTGATTGCAGATCTAGAGGCGCTTGAGGCGTCTGCTTTGTCCCTTCTTTATCTCTTTTGCGTTCTGTTGGCTTAGTCTCGATCACTTGTTGATATTTCGAAGATGAAGTTTTTCAAGTTACCCGTTCTGGCCCTGGCTGGGCTTTTTACCGCGGCGAGCTGTGCTCCCACGGGCCAGAATACTACTGTTCCGGTCAATGGCACTACTGAAGCGTCGACTGATCGACTGGTCTTTTGCCATTTCATGGTAAGCATCCCATTGGATGTGATATGGCTGGGCTTCACTAACAGATTAGATCGGCATTACTAGCAACCGACAGAGCGCTGCGGACTATGATGATGACATGAAACGTGCAAAGTCCCTGGGCATCGATGCCTTTGCGTTGAATATTGGGGTTGATCCCTACACTGACACGCAGCTCAACTTTGCGTACGAATCGGCCGCGCGCAATGACATGAAAGTCTTCATCTCCTTCGACTTCAACTGGTACAATACCGGACAGGCATCTACTGTTGGACAAAAGATTAGGCATTACGGAAGCCTGCCGGCTCAACTTAAGGTCGATGGCAAGGTCTTCGCATCCTCATTTGCGGGAGATGGTCTCGACATCAACCAGATGCAGTCCGCCGCCGGTACTGAAGTTTTCTTCGCACCGAACTTCCACCCTGGCCAAGGAAATTTCGGCAATATCCAGGGAGCATTGAATTGGATGGCCTGGGATAACAATGGCGATAACAAGGCACCAAGCGCTGGTCGCAACGTGACTGTTGCTGATGGCGATAAGGCATACGTCAATGCTCTGAACGGAAAGCCTTATATTGCCCGTATGTATCCCTCTGTGTTGTGGATGTGTTGCATCAGTCTTGCTAACATTATGCAGCTGCTTCTGGATGGTTCTTTACGCACTTCGGTGGTGAGGTATCCTACAGCAAGAACTGGGCGTTTCCCTCGGATCTGTTGTGGTACAACCGCTGGTTCGAGATTCTGAACCTTGCACCTCGGTTTGTGGAGATTGTTACCTGGAATGACTACGGCGAGTCGCACTACATCGCACCGCTGGCCTCTCCACACACCGATGATGGCGCATCCAAATGGGTCATGGACATGTAAGTCACCTGCCGTCTTCACAGCCAGCAAGACAATACTGACCAGCGATTCAGGCCCCACGACGGTTGGCTCCAGATGTCGAAGCCCTTCATCGCTGCATACAAGAACGGCGAAAAGTCACCCGACAAGTACATCACCGAAGAGAAGTTGATCTACTGGTACCGGCCTACTCCAAGGAACATCAACTGTGATAGCACCGATACTACCATGGACGGCAGTCCCAACAACTCCTCTGGTAACTTCTTCCGCGGGCGCCCTAACGGATGGGAGTCCTTGCAGGATTCGGTCTTCGTTGTCTCCTTGCTCAAGTCCCCCGGCACAATCCAGGTGGCTTCCGGACAAAACAACCAGAAGTTCGATGCACCAGCCGGCGCCAGCGCCTTCACTGTGCCCATGGGCGTGGGACAGCAGAAATTCGCTCTCGTCCGCGACGGCAAGACAGTGCTCAGCGACACCAGCCTGAAGGACATCGTCAACACGTGCATCTGCGGAATCTACAACTTCAATGCATACGTCGGTACGGTGCCGGCTCCGCCCACCATTGACAAGCTGGGCCCAGCTGGTCTGTCGGCCCTTCAGCAGGGCTTGCGCGTGGCATGTCCGACCAACACACTGGGCCTGGGGTCAGTTGCGTCGGCTACGCCTATCCCGACTCCCTCTCCTGCATGAGCCATTACTTGGAGGAAAGTTAAGCTAAGACCATGTATCTTAACGTAAATGTATGGCCTGTACTTGATCTCCGTTGTCACACACTCATCCATTCATTCAACGAAGAGAGAGACTCGCTTTGACTGGAAGGATCCAAACATTCATTCAAACAATGCATTACTCCATTCTACCAACTCCCAAGTTCACCAGTAAACCAGTAACCCACCCCCATAAACTTAAGCACCACACCTCCCAAACCACCACCTCCTCAACCACTCCCCCCTAACCACCCCCGAAATCTCCGCCCCAGGACACAACAAATCAAACCCATGAAACGCCCCAGGCCAAACATGCACCTCACACTGCACCCCATCCCTCAACAACCTCCTCGCAAACTCCACCCCCTCATCCCTCAACGTATCCGTACTCCCCACATCCAAATAAACCCCCTTAGACATCCCCTCCTCACCCCCAAGCCACCCCGCCCTCCCGGGCGCCGAATACTCACTCACCACCGACCCCTTCACTCGACTCCCACTCCTCTCCTCCCCAAGTAACGCCCTCCACGCCCTCTCATTATCATTCCGATCCCAGACCCCTATCCCCTCGAACTCCATCGCAGACGCAGAGTCATTCCGATCATCCAGCATCGGACTGAATAGCATGGGCCCTGGGTTCCTGTCCCGGAGAAGCAGGGCTACTTAGTCCCGCTGCGAGACATCCGCCTGCGGAGACCCCTATGACGGCTATTCTGTCCCTGTCGATGCCGAGGGAGGCTGCGTGCGTGTAGAGCTAAAGGAAGCCGGCGTAGGTGTCTTCTAGGGGGATTGGGTTCGTGAGGAAGGAAAGGGAGGAAGGTTTGTAGGTTTGTGAAGCGGTTGCCGGTTGTGAGGCCGCCGCTGTGGATGTGGTAGATTGTTGGGAGAGGGATGGTGGTGGTGTTGCTGGTGGTTGGGTAGTGGGTTGGGTTGCGTCGGAAGATGGAGATGGTTAGGGTTGTGATGTTTGTGGTGGTGATGATGATGATGATGGTGATACTACTCAGCAGTAGTTGAGTATATGGATATCACTTCTGCTACTATAAGACGAATAGATTCTGAGTCTAAGTGTGATAACAAAATACTTAAAGCTTGGCTAGGCTAAGTCATGCTGATATTATATTGTCTGTCTCTATACTACTTGGCTGTCTTTGCGACCCGGTCGTGCCTCAACTACTCCCTTGCTCCCACAACTCACGAGCTAACCCTCCTTGCAATGATTGTACAACCGTTCCTTATCATAGATGCATGTAGCCAGTGGCATCTATTGCCTCTTATGCTACACTGCATTGCTAGCTACATTATAGTTGCAGAGTATTGCCCGTTATGGCCGGTTGCTGCATCCCTAGCAGAGTATAACCACGTATAATTATTTTCTGCTAGCCGGCTAGTATTGCTAGCTTAGAAGAGAATATAGAGTTATCACACAAAGCTGCGTACTAGCCAATTGTGCAGCTGAATAGAAGAGGCATGAAAGAGCCAGCATAAGTCATGTGCACTCATGCTAGGCCTTGCCCGTCTGAGATTACTCGTGCTGCTCGTCATGTTGTGTCTCTACAGTGTCAAGCTATCCCTCTTCATAATGGAACTGGCGGCTCGCTCAACGGAGAAGAAGGCGGTTACTGAAGCCTCCCGAGAGACACATCATGACTTCTGTTGTGGCTAAAAAGATCTCGGCCAGTTTGGTGATGATGAAATCAATATTCCATCACGACCAAGCTCCTGTTTCGCCCTTGGCCTCAACCTCGCTTCTTCCTCGTCGGACTGCTTGGTGCCTGCGTCGAGGGGTTCTTTCATATGTTGTTTGACTATAAAAAAACCCATCCGATGTATATGAAATCATTACTGACAGATACAGCTCCCTACCTGTTTCCATCTATCAAAAGAGCAAGTGCCATCGAACCGGTATCATGAAACTTCCGATGACTTGGTTTTATAGTCGCTTCCGTCTCAGTTGGTATCTTGACGTCCGTGACCGGCTACTACGTCCTGTTAAATTATGTCAGAACATACAAACCAGAACAATACCAGTAACCAGAGAGGGATTTCTCTTTTGGCCTACTTGGTATCTGTTTCAACAAATTATCTGACGGTTGTCTTCAGTTTCATTGACACCCGGCTTCTGAGTATTGAGGCCGACTCTGGACACCCCAAGTGGATTATCGACTCGGTCTGCATGTCAGACAGTGCTCCCCTGGCAGTATTGCTTTGGCCGCCTCGATCATCATGTTCTCAAGGGTTTTGTAGAGGCAACGGTGGCCTCCGTAGCGACAAACTATCACGGACCAGCTAGTCCGGAACATCGCGAGCGGAGTACCTTCTATTGACCCAGGGACGGTGATCAACGCTGGTGCCACGGATCTCGTAAGTCATGTGCCAGTGGAACTGTACCATTAGGTCATTGTCGCGTATAACAGAGTCGTAACACATCCACATTGTGTTAGGGTTGCAATGGCGTGCTGCAGTGTGTTAGGGGCGGTTCTTTTGGAGTGGGTGCATATTAAGGGGGAGAAATGATGGACGGGGCTACGGCAGGATGTAGCATATTCCCAGATAAGTATATTAAGAAATAGACTGGCCAGAGTAATCTAGTATAGAAGGATAAATGTTTAATCATTTCAATGCGGGGAAACATATCCATGGTACAATAGTAAAGATCCAGACCGGGAGAGATACTTGTATACGGGGGTGGACCTCGGGCCAGCTCAGCCCGACCAGTCCCTAAAAGATCGGAAGGAAAGACGCGCCCTGCGTTGGACAGAGAGATAGTGGCTGCCTGATGACCTGGCTAGCTGTCATACTATTTGCAAGTAACTCCGCCTGAAATCCGGACAAGCCAATGCCATCTGTGCCAGCGGAAACAGTTCCTCAGACTCCGACTGTCTCCGGCACAGCTTATCGGAGAGACTCGAGCGACTTATCGTGGTTTATCTCCCGCCGGCGCATTTAAACCACCACCAACCCCTGACCAAATAGTTCGCTGCATCTCACCGACTTTCTCGGATCTACTTTGCTTATGACCTGTTCTGACCGGCACAATGATCTTCTCCGGTGAGGCTGTCTTTTGTTGATATCTGCCACCCCAACAGTGTCTCTGTTCCTCGCCATGGATCTGTTCGGTTAAGCCTGGCGCTTACTGTCGGTTTCCCCTCTCTATCGCCTACTGTTGTCCATCACCCCGGATCTCGCGTGATCGATTTCCATTTCCTACCTCACGTTGATCTGTGTCTCTCAGATCATTGCGCATACTTGTGACCCATCTCGACTCTTACTTTGACACCATGGCTTGTTGACGGGTTGATCCCGCCTTGTGCTTATACTTGTGCTTCATTGATTGTTTTCCATCTCGTCTTTTGTCCACGTGCCATATCACGACGCCCGACGCCATGGCGCGCACCAAGCAGGGTGTGTTTTCTTGGGAAGATGTGTTGGCGCATCGCTACCAGAGTGCGTTATATCCCAGTTACCAGTCATTCTCCATATTCTGGTAACACACTAACCACCCATCGCTCACCAGACAACAAACCCTCCGGGCTCCCCAGGTCCCGTCGATACAGCGCCGTTCAAGGTCAACGGACGTCCTCCAAACCCGACACCAGGAAGGAATGGTCCATCCAGTCGCAAAGCGCCTTACTGGCCAGGCTATCGCCCGAGCTGCGACTCATGATCTGGGAGATGGTCCTGGGTGGCATGCGCATCCACATCGTACAGCGTCAGAACCGGCGAATGGGACATATAGTCTGTCCTCAGACCAGCGCATGCGATATTTGTCGCGGTGGACTTCCAGGCATGAAAGTGTCGGCGGGTCTGCTGGCGCTGTCGATGACATGTAAACAGATGTAAGTCATCTATGTCTACTATGTAGCTTATATACTAATATCCACTCAGCTACTGCGAGTCTATCTATATGCTCTACTCACTCAACACCTTTGAATTCAGCAACACCTGGTCGCTGACATACTTGCGACCCACCATCCCGGCCGACTTCTGGGACGCCATCCGCGAAGTCGAGCTCCGCTGGGCGTTCCCGGGCCACTGGCTCCCCTGCAAGGACCCCGTCAAGTCGGTCTACTTCTCCGCTGGCCGGCAGCAGTGGGTCGAGACATGTCTGGCTCTCACACACATGCAGGGCTTGCAGACATTTACGCTGCAGCTGAGCGGGAGCTGGTTCTGTGAGCCGGTGGAAAAGATCCCGGTGTTCTTGGAACCGCTGCGGGAGCTGCATCTGCGACAGCGATGGAAGTTGCAGCTGCCGAGGCAGCCGTACTATGTAAAGGAGATTCGGAATATCGATGGGGATTTGAGGAAACGAGGAATTGAGTGTGTGGTGAGGGTGGTTTAGCATGTCCTTTTATAGCGTAATAGCGTGCAGGCGATATATTTATACCCTAATAGTTGATGAACTGTTTAATGGATGGAATTGAGTGATTTGGATTATATTAAGATGAACACCTGCTTGGCACAGTAGACCACACTATATATCACACTCTGCTGCTTCACAATATATATATATATCACACCCGGCATAAAACTACTAGTAGTGGTAATGTACAGACAGAACCACGACACTATCCCCCAATAGCTACTAATTATTTACGCACCCAACTTAATTATACTTCCCAATTGCCCACTGTCATTACTACTACACTCTCTAAAATCTATGAGGAACGCAAACAATCAATACTCCTACAGAGTACATCCATCTCAAAACAAACACAGAACACAACACAACAAACTAACACATCAACATTCCCACCCATCACCACAGAAACCCCAAGACACCCACCAATCCAGTAATCACCTAATCCAGGGGTACACACAAGTCTACATTATCCGAAGAGATAGGTAAATAAGAAAAACACATCATCCAGCCGAGGAATGTACGTATGTATGCGTGTGGCGTAGAACAGGTTATGTAGAAGTAAAGTGTACCTATATCGATGGAGTGTGGATTTTGTGTAGTCTAATTTTGTTGGCATTCTTCGGCGTTTGACGTGTCTTGGATGGGTGCTTATTTGGTTGGGGGGTCTGTTTGTAGCTGATAGGCAATGGGATCAGGTTTGGTTGGTGGTGGGAGGGATGGTGGGATAACTAGTAGTTTGGGAATGGATCGTTCTTCTATAGGAGATAGATGAGATTAGTAGTATTCTGGAGTGGTGAGAGTAGCTATAGTAGTAGTTCAATTGGTCGGGAGTAGGGGTATTTAGTGATAATTAGGGTAGATGGACGTAGTATATATATAATTGTATAAGGATACTGATTCCTATGCTTCACTGTTCTCGGCTGCTTATGTCTACTAACTTATGTTGATGTCTAGAAGCCTACTACTAGTTTAAGCAGAGTGCTTACAGAGTGTGGCGTCGTGATGGATTATATTTAGGATCTCCAGAAGCTTCTTCTACGGTCAATGCTTGGGAGTGTATAGGGTAGTGGGAGTGTATAGGGTAGGGTGGGATAGGGTAGGATGTGAACATCAGCAAAGCTAGGTGCATGCATTCTTCCTTGACCTACTGGAAGAAAACAAGCTTATTACCCTCCAGCACTTTCTAGGTTGTACACGTCAATTCAGCTGTTGTGGTGGCTGGTGGCTGGGCAGAGAGGAATGTGTGGACATTCTTGACAAGGAGGCGAGTGAATTGCGAGATGGGAGGTTGATGAGGCTCGATTGATCGGTTCCATGGATGAGATGTTCATCTTCATTTTATTCATTATGGACAGAGTCAGTTCTGGAAGGGATAGTTTATGTTGTAAGCTGGATGGGTGGAGGTTATACAAGTACAGATGGGAGGGAAGAGGAGAGTGACATCAATTGCATGTACCTGGATTCTTTAGCGATAGACTCGCATTCTTGGGAATTGTGCCATTGACTTTTAGTCCGAGCAGTCAAGGAACTTCGAGGGAAGACTGAGGTAGACAAACCAGCTAGAGATGCGGTGCTGGTGTTGTCTTCCGCCGACTCAACATCTCCATCTCACGTCGACCAGACGACGCCAAAATTCCCGAGCAGTCTCCCCGGTTAATACTCCGCGGATACACCCTTCTTCTCTCACCTGTCTACTCACTGAGAGCCAATGAACTGGGGAGCAACCCTGGTGGAATGCCTCTTTCCCCCCAAGAATGGACAGCCGACATACCAAGCCAAACAACAAACAACCCAATTTACGAGTCGGTTCCACTGATGTACATCCAGCTTCCCAGCTTAAGCTAACAGCACCAAAGGGGGCAGTTTGTTGTTCAGTCCATCGCTATGGATCGACCGTCAATAATCATATCAGACCTGTTAAATACATATCACTTCAACATGCAGCCATATAACTCAAATTCTTCTTCTCTTCCCCAGCCCCATCTGTTCACGTCGTGCTACATGCTTGATCCTCTGTACGACCTTAGTGATCTACAACCATGCGACAGGCCATATCCACCCGCACCTCTGGTGCAATTCGAAGGGATGTTCAAATAGCTCAAGCTTCCGCCGTCCCGTATTCTTCGTACGGAGGTTCGTCATCTACCTACGACGACGGTCAGTGGCACGGAGGATATTCGTCGGGCAATTCGTACGGTCAGCAAGGTTCAAACGGTCAACAATCGGGGCAGTCAGGCGATATGTCCTCAGGAAGCGCGGGCACAGGAAGCTCAGGCTCGAGCGGTGCCTCCAACAATGCAGGAGCTCAAGGCGGTGCTGCCGCCCAAGCCAGTCCTGTTGCTTCGACAGAAAACTCAGCTTCATCGTGGTCTGAAGGGAGTTCCGCCAACAGTGCCCAGGGCAATACCGACTCGTGGACTAGTCAATATGTTCCAAACTCGCCGTCTCCATCTGTTGTAAGCGCGACATGGGAGACTTCGGCCATTCCCACACAAACAGGCAGCTGGACGACAATGACATCGACCACTTCTAAAACCAGCAATAGCACACCCACCCGCTCGAGCACTACCGAAAAAGAAACGCCCGCCAGTACAACACCAGCGGCCTCCGCCGGAGGTACCTCGCATGGCCCTACCCCCCTGTCTACCAAGTTGGCTATCGGCCTCAGTGTCGCAATGGCGGTCGTCGCCATCCTAGGATTCTTCGTGTGGTCATTGCACCGGAAGAAGCGTGCCTTGCAAAAGGCGATAGCTGGTAACAAGGCCAGGGACGAGAAACCAGACCCTAGCCCACCGCAGCCCTCTATTATGAAGAGGTACGCCAGCAGCTTCTGCAATGGTGTATCAACCATCAAGTTCAAGTCCACCAGATCGCGTCTTCGTTCTAGTTCAGTGCGTCTGCCTGGAGCTCCCAAGTCGGAGTACAAACCGATCAAAGACTTGGCACTCAAGGTGTATGCCAATGGCCGCGGAATGTTGCGTACAGCTGCCAACATTGCACGGTCTACTTGGCAGAAGTCCCACGTACATGTTCCGCGCCCTGCTTCTGAGTACATGCACGATCCTGACAGTGTGATACGAGATGGCTTCCGCCAAATTCATCGGTCATACTTGTCCCTGCCTCAGGCGCGCAGCAGCAACAATAATAACAAGGATAACAAGGACATTCATCCCGCACTGCGCGGTCTACATTCCTCGACTGAGACATTAGTCGGGGCAGACATGGGCAGAATCAAGGAAGTCACCGTGTCCAACACTCCTCCAAGAGAAGAGACCGGCAGGATACCAGAGGCCAATGTCGCAACAGTAGAAACCATTTCGCGAGGAACATCGACCAACTCCAGTTCCCCGGCCGTTTCTAGAAGCCCTACCATCGAAGTCCCTACTATCGAAATACCCACTTCTCCTGGAGCACCACCAATTTCATTGGCTCGTGTGTATCGCGTCGACATGGACTTCCGCCCTGTGAGCCCTGAGCACATTGGACTGAAGGAGGGGCAAACAGCTATCCTGCACCTAGTGTACGAAGACGGATGGGTAAGACACCAACCTTGTATAGCCTACTTTATAACTCTAGCTAACATACTCAGGCACTGGTCACCGTCCTCGAAACCAACAAAGAAGGCCTTGTCCCTCGGGCATGTTTCTCCGCGCAACCAATACGGAACCAAGCCCAGTACCTCGGAAACAACATCAGCATCTCGACAGATCACGTCCCTCGCTCGCCGCGTCCAGCGACTCCCACGTCACCATGTGAATCCACATCTGATGGCGACCTCGGGCGGTTCTACTCGAACTGCGTGAGTCCGGAGCTGCCGCCAATGGACGATGAGAGGCCACAGACCCCGAAGCTGAAGTCTTTGCCGTCGATTGCAAGTTTCCTTAAATCACCTCCAAGCTTTAAGAGCATGGTTTAGGTGATGAGCAGCATTCGCTTCCTGTAAATATTCGGTGTGACCCGTGTTAAGCGACGGGCGCACTTTATTGTATATATACATGATATCATAATGTCTTGTGCGGATACCTATAAATTCTATTGAAGATATCGAGAGACATCAAGATGGTCAGAGGATGTCCAAGTAGGAATTTATGCCAATGTATTGGCAGTTAGTCTCAGGGCCAATTGACCTGCCACCTTTCTGGGAGAGATGGATCCATCTTTACCATGCTTCTCCTGCGAAAGCCTATCTTCTTGCTCATCTGCCTCATCAGGCTTCTTGCTCGAACGACCACTTATTATCACAGTGGCTTCTCGCTAGGTTGCTCACTAGAGCATTTGTTCGTTGCTTGCCTTTGACACAAGCGCAATCACACCACAGATGGCAAGCTCATTGATATATATGATGGTGCCTAGTAATATCGCTTCTTGTTACATGCGCTGCGAGACGTTTGACATGAAAGAAAGCAGAAATGTCCAGAGCATAGTCTTCTACATGCTTTCTTTTTCTATATATATACTATGCAAATGTGTATATATCACAGGATGATACCAAAAGGATTCTTCGTGCAGATTCAATGTCTACTACGCACTACCTAACATTAAATAAACTTTGTAGAAGTACCTTATGGGTAATGTCCTTCTATCAAAGAACTATATACTAATACACAGCTTTTACTAAACCAATGAACATACTACCCGTAAATATTCCATAACTATCTCACAACACATACCTACAGATGCAGCCCAAGCATACATACATACATCGTGTACGGCAGAATAAAATACAAATACACAGCAATACCATGACCACACAATCGCACACTCACATGACACCACAACTGACGAACCACAAGCGCCCGTTCCAGTGCAGATCACCGCCGATTTCATTTCCATCTAAATATAGCTCTTTATGCTATCAGCCTTTCTTAGCTGGTGGGTTTGCCGTGCGGGGTCCTCTTCTTCTTCTGCTGCTTCCATCTCTATTATGTTAATGGTTTTATGTATTAACATAATTGTTCAGTATATGTCTATACAATGTGTATCTAGTTAAGAGTATTATCATTTACGAAGTTTCCCTATACGTATATATGGCTGAAGCTTAAAGTACATGGACAACATTCCTGTTCCTGAACCATACCTCACTACTACCCTCTATACCCACACCACAGATCACACACTAACTCACTCACTCCATAACCCCAATCCAATTAAATTATAATTAATCAATCAATCAACAACCCGGATTCCATCCCTGTCTCACTTCCACTCCCAGTCTCACCTCATCCTCTGAACCATCATCCGACACCCGAACTGACGCAGTCAATAAGTCACTAGTCAGGTACAAGTTTACACACACGGTCGGGTAATTCCTATCCTTCTTTACCCGTTCTACTATCCATCCATCCACTTATCCCAATGCATCTTCTACTACTACTATCTTTCCAATCTACAGTAGTATCCACAGTACGGAGTAGTAGTACTTACTACACAAGGTAACCCGGCCCACTCCACTCCTCTCCACCTATACATACCCCGAACCGATTGAACGTGACCTCCAGTTTGAAGAATAATGATGCCTGTTCTGGTGATCAAATCCAACCCGTTCCTGACCTGACCTGGACCCGTTTCCACGTTCCAACCCATCCTCCCTCCATTCCATCTCTGAAACCTTAGCATCACGTTCTCATATCATACTTACTTACCAACTTACATTGGTATGTTCAATTGAATGATTACATACATATCCAAGACATAGAAGACAATGGTGTTGTAATTCATTCCCCAAACCGGGGAGGGAAAAAAAAAAAAAGGCCCCCAAGGATTCATTTGATCTAGCGTAACCTGTTTTGGCCTTTGGGGAGGGTCGTCGGGGTCTAGGCTAGTCTAAGACGGGTTGAAATTGTGGGTTTCTTAAGTGGAGAGAGAGAGAGAGAGAGAGAGGTAACTACTAACTAGGAAAGTAAAAAGGGGAGGGAGGGGGGTGTGGGTTTGGAGAGTTGGACCCTGAATTTTCTTTCCCACTCGGTTCGAAGTTTCTTGGCTTGGGGTATCTTCCATTGGGTAAGGGAAAGTAAATTCGGCTGGTAGGTTTGGTTTGGTGTGGTTTGGTTGGGGGAAATTAAGGGTTCTTTTTTTTTTTTTCTTCGGTCTATTTTCGTTCGAGCTTTGTGGAGGGTATTATGTTTCATTATCATGTTTCTTTATATTTTTTTTTATTCTCTATATTATTCGTATGTAAGTATGTGCGTATGGCCTGATAATTGTATGAGGGTAGGTCTGGTCGGGTCAGGGTCTGTTGGAGAAGACGGATGGGGCAGGCAAGCCTGGAGGGTCCGTTCAACTTCCGGAAAGTCCGGGCGAGGCGCGAAGAAAGTCTTGATCATGGTGCGTGTAAGTTCATCCTCTTCAAGGTCCAGACAAGGCATAGGTTTACCCCATAACTACGATCTATTGATCTTGATAAGGGTCTCGACCAAGACAAAGTGGATATCATTATCATCTTGAAGATGATCGTGTCGAACTATCTGTTTATCCACAGTGCAAGGACACAAAAAGAGGGCAGAACTAATTTAGTACGAATTGGTTGGATTGCAATACGAACGGCTTAATCTGGGCGACGCACGTATCCTCCCATCTACGCATGGTGGTAAAAAATAATATCAGTAGATGTCAATTCGGTATCTGAGATCGCCAGGAGTCAGAACAAAAATGGAAAATGAAGGTGCCGCTGCGCCTGTCAGACCCCAGCGCCGAAACAAGTGTCTCATAAACGCGGCAATGACTGGCCAACGCCAGTGCTTGGCATGCACCCTAACAAAGAACACGGGATGAAAATGAGAATGAAAAAATGGAAATGATTATAAGGAAATTAATATGGAGAAGCTGAGGAAATGCTCAAGGCTAAAACGAATCCAAATGAAAAGCCTGTCACGATCGCGCCTCCCAACCTGCCCGTTTCCCCAAGGTATCCGATTATATAACCTGAAAATGCATCATAAATAAAGGAAAGGAAATGATCTGGTGGTGGACAAAGTGTCACAGAGTAAAGGAAATCCAGAATGAATGAGTAGATAGAATAGGATGATCAAAGACCATCACTAAACAAAAAGTGTTGTTGGCGAACACTAGTAGTGTTCGCAGCCCGCCGACCGAGGCAGTTGCCTCGGGCGCGGCTGGGCGAGAAACGACCCGATTCTCGTCCGGACGTGAGCCCGAACGCCGGCAGAGGTGTCATTAGAATCCATACGGAAATGCTCCCTAGCAGTGGAGGATGTAGCGAGTCGTGAAACATGCGATGCCGCTGATGTGAATCCGATAACAGGCGGAGGCCAATCGTGTATCTCGTGTCATGTGTCGTCCATCGAGAAACGGTCCAGCCAGATTATGTGGTCGTGTAGGGTCGTACCTTGCGGGGAACCGAAGTCCCGACCGGTCGCTGCGTACCGATCAAGAGGCACCGAGCCTTACTTGCCGCAAGGTGACATTATGGGGGTTGAGGGCTGAGACACGCGCAAAGTTACCGGCCGTTGTGCGATCCGTCGGGGCCAGAATGGCCATGGTTTCTCTGCCGAGTGTCGAGCCATTCCATGGGAACGTCCTGCCGCGAGGCGGGCGTCTTCTGATCCTCGGGGCGCCCGGTGGTGGTGTTCTGGGGGAAGAGGTTGTTCAGTTCGGCAGCAAGGGCGGACGCAGTGTAGGCGCGCAGCTCTCTCTCTTCACGCTCATCCTCCTTCATCAGGCGTCGCTGATCCGTCTTCGAGAGGTTCTCCCGGCGCTTCTTCCGGATCTCGTGGATCACCCACACAAGCACCTCCTCAGGAGCACGGTTTCGGGCCTTGCCATGCCGTGTCGGGCTTCGAACATAGCGTCTAGTAACATCGGTAGCTCCATCGATCGAGAAGGCAACGCAGTAGGAGATCTTCCGTCCCCAACCTATAGCTATGATTAGCGAATGTCAAATCAGACGAAGCCGGATACACATACCCTCAGTGTAGAGACGGGGCTGATCCCAGGCCTCCTCACAAGCATCTACATGCACCCAGCGGCGCTGATGCTCAGAGTAAACCTCAGTCCAGACGTGATCCTCGGCGTTCCACACCCATCGTACACGGCCACCAAGGGCTCTGCAGAACATGCTGAAGCAGTTGGCCCATTCACCGGCACGTCCCCGTCGAGTTTGCAGCAGCTGCCACACATCCGAGTAGCGGGGAAATCTCTCGTAGGAGCCACACATTCCTTCGGAGCATCGGTATAATTCGACACGAGTGGCACCACGTGCGGTCTCGTCAGGCGACGGGGGAGTCATTCCTTGGGCGATTGAGGGCGAGCCACATCGAGCACATGGGGGATTGTTGACGAATTTGAAGAAGCAGTTCTTGAACCACCTATATTGATATTGATTAGTAAAGCCCATGAGACGATTGAATTATCAAAAAAAACGTACCTTAGAAGCGCCCGAATGACGCAGTCCTGGTATCCCCATTCCGGCTTTCCTCCTACACTAGCTGCCTGAGCCTGCATAATCTGACTTTCTTCCTCTGCTTCCGAGTACAACCGGTCGAGAGGGATATGGGCGAGAGCCTCATCTAGAAGGCCTGGGTTCTCATATTTGGTCGGTGTTACAGAAAGAACGTGGAGAAGGTTGCGAAATTTGAGGGAAGCCGGATCTTGTGGGGGAGCAGGAACGATAGGTAGACTGCGGAGTAGGGGTGATTGAGCAGACGTTTGCGGAGGCATTTGAGGAGGGTATTGGGCGGCGGTCGGAGGCGGTGGTGGTGGTGCTCGCGAGGGATGAGGCGGGTACAGGCCAGAGGACATAGCCGCGGGCGCTGGGGATTGTGTGCGGGAGGATGCTCGGGACTGTTCCTGAAGCTGGTTGAATCTCTTGTTGCGCATCAATTGTTCGAAAGCGTTGGTGAGTTCCGAGGCGTCGAAGTTCTCAGGCTGCAGCGCCGGGTTGTGGTGTCGACCGTCCGCCATGGTGGTAGGGGGTAGGGTCAACGACACCAGCAAGTGTAAGACGTGTGAATCTCCAGATTGGGTGATTTGCGATAATCCTGGGTATTTAAGATCGACTAGTAACGTGTCTCCAGACGCAGTGAGGAAACACGAAAGAGATGAAGGTCGGGATGGATGGAAGAGTGATGTCGACACAGGCCAGGTAGTAGTAGGTGGGAAGGTCCGTCAGGTCGGTCGATTGTAATGATAGTCGCACAGCCTAGCCAGGCGGTCGCCACGCTTGGCGCTGGTCAACGTAACCGCCACGACTACGGAGGGATCAAGGTGGTGATGAAGATGGGAGGATACTGAAGCCAGATGTCGAGATGGCTACAGTATAATCGAGTAGTGTGAGAATGGATAAAATTATGTCAAAGTGTTTTAACGACCGAAAGGGTATAGGAAGGGTTTGGTTTGGAGAGGAGAGGAGTGGGCGGGCGGCAGGGGGACCGAAAGGGGAGCGAAGAGGAAAGGAAGAGAGAGAAAAGAAGGAAGGGAAAGGGAAGAAAGAGAGAGAGGAAGAGAGCGGTTAGAAGAGGAATGAGGAGGGATGGTTGTTGAAGATACCTACGACGAGGTAGGGAAGTAGTAGTTCCTGGGGAGGGAGGGAGGGAGGAGAGTAGAGAGAGTAGAGTAGAGAGAGAGGGAGGGAGGGAGGGAAGAAAGGGAAGGTAACTAACTGAACTGCTAAGAGAGAGTCGAGAAGCAGTTACGCAGACCGTGGCCGAACAATACGCAATACTAGTAGTAATACGACGACGGAGGGACTGACTAGTCACAGGAGAGGTGATGATTTTTCTGGCCATTGGCGCTTTTTCTCTCCACGCCAGCAGCGAGGGCGAAGCGTCGTCAGCCTTGAGCTCTTCGCCCCAATCAGGGCCCCGCGCCAGCACCGCAAGCCGCGTGTGTCCCGCCCCGAAACAGTTAACTGAACCATGGCCAAGACCCTCGCTCTCCTCGGTCCGCTGCTTTGCATTGCTGCGTCGCACTTACTGCCACGCACTTTTCCTCTCTTTCTCCTGCTGGTAGCATGGCTCCCTCCTCCCGGGTTTTGGCAATATTGCCTTGATGTTGATCAGTATGGTTTTCTGCCCGTACAGCCAGCCCTTTCCCAACCCAAACCCTCTGTTGACTCTCAAACTGCATCCATACGTTGCAGACTCTCCTCCGATCTTTTCCCCAATTATTGACCCCAACCTTCCCGCAAGTATATTTCTTCTTTGTCAATCACTCCTTGTCGCGATCCGATTAGGTCGATATCTTTGAACTTCAGGCTCCACTTCTTGAACCCGATGTCGATTCTCCCTGTCCATCGTGACCTCTTCTATGCTAACCAACGGTGTGGCTGTCTGCTTCTACAAAAAAACAACTACAACTCCATACTGCCCAATAAAACTACTATACGACTATACTAGTATGGACCACTGGTAGATAGAATTTAGACTATGTTTTTCCACCCTCTTTCTCTATCTCCACTTTCTTCCTAGGCCCTACAGAGAGGAGACACACCTGCTGATGAATCCCTCAAAAAGCTTGGCCATGTCCGCGTGGGTTGCACGTCGCGATCTGACATTGGGACTGGCTTTTCCCCTCAACCTCGTCTACGCAATCCTTGCACAGATTTTACTATGATCCTCAGAGCTTCATCATCTTCCCGACTACACCCTCCCCGTGGAGGTCCTGTCCCGCTATACAGAAGATTTGCATCTCCCGATCGGGTAACTGTCGAGCGCAATCTTCCGCGCTCTGGGTCCGCACCATGGGGATCTCGTTCGACGTCAGCCTGCCTGTCTTACGCGGCTCTCTGACCAACGGACTAAAAATGTCACCATCGTACGCTACCATGCGCAACGACCGTGCTCCGTGCACGTCGTGTCCACTTCAATGGTCGATACTAGGCACACCATCAACAGAATTTTAAGGAGCTCTTCCTCCACCAGGAGGGAAATTTCATGACTCCAACACCTATTCAGACACGAAACTCCAATACCTCTACCAGAAGGGGCAATTTGGCAGAGCGGCATGGCCCGTAGCCTTACGAGTATTCAATCCAGTGCTGGGATTTTTAACCCACTTCACCAAATTCCCCTCAGCTGACGAATCACGGATGAAGTCGAACCCGATTTTGGGTGCCGATTCTCTGGCAGACGAAGGGATTGGGCAAATAAGAGGGAGCTGGATAGTCATGTAAGGCTAAGAACTGCACTATTTGCCAGCTAAATTACTCGGAAAGCTGCCACAGAAGCAATTGGAGGGGCAGCATCGTATGCTGGCGTCGAACTATATGCTGGGTACGTCGTGGCCTTGAAGGATGTGAGGGTCATTTTAAATGAGCCCTCCTATAAGACGAGCAACCCAAACCCTAGCCGGAACAGACTTCAGCCGTCGTGTGGCCGGCGATGATCATGGTGATCTTGATGACTTATAAAAGCCAACCTTGATCAGGGTTCAGACTGCGCCTTGCACGGCAGACTTCTATATGTTTCAATTGGAGGACGACTCCATGATAGACACAGCGATCAGAAGACAATCATCGCGCCGTATGCGCACGATACCCTTGAAGCAAGCCCTGGGCAGTCCGTACGCATAAACGCCCTTTCTGTACATATAAGACGACCTGTCCAGCGCCCTATCTTCTTAGCATTAGAAGCACACGCGGCATCTGCACCCTGATGAATGTGAATCCCCACTCTGACAGTTCTCATGTACCACAAATCGCCAATTCATTTCCACCGTCATTTTATGTATCCCTCCCAAAAAGGAATTCCCTAGGCCAATCATTTCATGCATATAACACATCCAGAGAACCCTACGCCATTGGTTTTAATCATTCAGCTGAATGGCGGCGCTGAATGAACACCTGAACTCGATAACAGTTATACCGAGAGTGTTCAAGGAGAGAGAAAAAAAAAATACAAATCAAAATAAAAATCAAAAGAAGACCCGGAAACCCGACTTCTCCGAGTGTCCGCATATCTTCCTCCCTACCAACTCAAAGCGGAAAGTATCCAACGGAGATAAAACCAGTCGGCGTTACAGGATTACGGCATCCTTCCTAAACAGGACGATGGGTGGCGGAGACGCGCAAGCGTCCGTCTTGGCATGAGACAAGATCTGGCTAGAGGGAGCTTCCAGACCCATGGCCCTAAACCCGTTTCTGTTTGTTGTCCAAGATGTCAACAGTCAATACCACCGTCCTAGACCCTGGCTAGGGGGCTTGGCGTGGATACCTCATCCGGTTATGTGTGGCTTTGCTTTTTCTTTTTCCCTCTTCCTTCTGAGTTTAGTAAGTGGTAGATTGATTGCGAGAGAGAGTCACAACCCTTTCCAGTTCGTTCTCGGGTTTGTGTTCCATTCCATCGATGGTCGAGACCCTGGACGATCTCATCTCTTGTTTTTGAGGACATTCTATCCTACAGAGGTATATTTCCATGGTTTAGATAATTGACTTAAAATCTTCTTCACTACTACACTCTAGATAAGTAGGAAACAAAATATGGGGATGGCTAATATTAGCACCACCTTCACACACCAGGTAAGAACTAAGAAGATTGCAATTCCAGAGATCAGTTGTTTCTTGGTTGGATTACGCAGCACTATGCAGATGACTAAGTAACTAACTAAAGGGAACCCGGGCTTTACGGCATCCCACTTAACCCGAACTGAACTGTTTTTTTGAACCTGGACGCGGAATTGAACCCTTGAAACCGAACACGTGAGCCATCCCTTTCCCGATTGGTGAGAATCCTTCAATGTAAGGTGCGGTGGGTCTTTTATCGATGCTGAACTGGCATGATTACGACAACTCTTTTCTAGGTGGATTCTTCAGTGCCTGCCTGCCTCCAAAGAACAATACTGCACGGATTACTGAGCAGAAAGAAGAAGATCAACGGAATAATGGAGTCACGGAGTTAAAAACTGTGCGCGGCTCAAGCCGACAGAGATTCATACCCACATCTCTTTGTACCAGGTTTCATTGACCCAAGGATCACAGTCAGTTACTGAGATTACTTATCCACAGTTCAGTTGGAGGCACTAGACTACGTACAAATTAGTTTATCTAGTTGGTTGGTGGTTGGTGGTTTGTGGTTAGCGGGCCGTGTCATCGTGAAGTCATGATTAGATACTACTTGCAGATACGCTAACTATACTCTACAATACAATATACTATCCTATACTATACACAATATATGTAGATAGATACTACATAGAGTAAACTAGTCTAGGGATATATATATACATACGTATGTATGATGTGATGATGCAACCGCGACTGCATCTTCACCTGAGACAAACAGATAGATAGATAGATAGATAGATACACAGCATACTGTAGTAGATATGATCCAGTTCCTTGCTTCAGGTACTCGCGGACATACATACATGCATACTACACGCATACTTGCTTGATTCGCACACATACCGTATAGCATAACTTCAATACTGTGGATTCGCCATTATGAATACTACCTGCACCTGTTTGTCTGACTTCTTGCTAAGGTAGCATAGCAGGAAGGCAGGCAGGTAAGTAGATGGACATTGCCGCTGCGCTGCAGTACTACCGTTACTGTGCAGGATGTAGGAAGTATATACTATCTGTAGGTACTATTACTACACTTATACTCTAACTTTTTCCCTCTATTTACTCTGCAATCTATTGTTATAAATATATATAAAGTATTGTATGTTATATTAATCATAGCATTATCCACTTTCGAATATAAGCAATAAACTAAACAAATTAATCAATCTCATCTCTAACATACATTGTATGAACTGACTCAAGAAAATGATCTACAAAATATATGTACATGATGACGTACACCCCCAATCCGGGTCCCATAATCCCTTCTTTTTCCTTCCCGGGACGGGTAAGTATCTGCTTTGCTCTGCTCTTTGTCCCTCCCGGGTACGTATTTAGATATTATGGACAACGTGTTTCAGATAGCGTAGGTAGGGATGTATGATGTGTGGTTGGGTTTTGTTGGATAATCCGATGATCATTGTTGGGATGTATCAGATAACGTATGCGGCTTTATTGAATTTTACTTTTCTTGCCATGTGTCATGTGTATTGTGGTGGTTAGGTTTAGAGCATGGGTTTTTGACTTCTTCGATGGATGTTCGGTTCGGCGTGGTGGTGTGCTTGCTGTGCTTTGCTTACTGTGCGGTGTGTA